TGACTGTTAATATTTTTTTGATGTTGAATTCTCTTTTGGGATCAGATTATACTTTTTCGAAGCAGAAACTCTCCGACTTCACCTGTAATGGAAAGCCAGATGCTACTTGCCGTTATAGAAACAAAATAATTATCCCAATCGAACTCGAGAGGCAAATAGTTTTAGTATTAAATAGCGGACAGTTGGATTATCATTCCGATAGCAATACAAAGGATGTAGTTGATCAAATTTATTCCTATTTGCACATGAGTATTTTTTATCGTTCTTATTGTTATATTAATATGCTTTATACAGGGCGGAACGCCAAAGTGTTGCTAGCAAAGACCGAAGAGGGAAGAGTAGGAAACGCCCAGATATTATGTTCATAGCAAAGCATGATAGGAGAATCTATGAATTAATTTTTGCAGAATGTTCTCGCCTCGTCTGTGATAAACAAAAAGAAGATGATGATGAAGTGAAGCTGTGGAGAGAAATTAACGACGGCTCGTATTGGGCACATAGGGGGTGTAAGATAGATGGTGATGAGTTTGGTGTAATCGGCATTCAGGTTGCTGGACAAAAACTTCATTTATATGTTCTCATTAGAGATGATTATGAAATAAATCGCCTTTTTCTATTAAGATCAGTAGACATTCCAACACAATATTCGGATGGTGATTGCGTGTTTAGATTTGTAGAAACTTTATTATTTTTACGGGTAGAGATTTGCTCAAGTCTATAATATGCTTAATTAGTTTAATACTAATTCTTTTTTATTACATAGAGAATCTTAATTGTTGATCTTCTCAACTTTTCAATTCTGAACCTAGATTATATGGGCAAAGTGAAAACAGTTCAACGTGTCTTCACCATAGGTTTGATTTTATCGCTAATAAACTAATTATAAAAAATATGAGTCATATAACTCTATACTCCATATATTAAAAAAAATTTGCAATGCATATTACCCTCGTCAGTTCTGCTGAGAATATTTGAATCGATGTTATTTATCTCTAGATATTTACGTACCTCCTCATAATCAAATACCTCCTTTACATCCTGTGTCTTCTTATTTATGATAGTTATATGACCTTCATCAATTATATGAAAATGTAAATATTGCGTAGGATTGTAGTAAATCTACCTTGAATTTTTCGTCTGTTATTTTTGTATTTGCGAGACATATATAATATCTCTGCAAGTGTTTTATTAAATCTTTCCACGATTGCGAGGGATCTTATCACCCCCAGACTGACTGCCAGATAAGGAGTAAAGGTATTCGGAGTTTGATTATAGTCGGTACCCAATTAAGAGCCCTTCTATATTCAGTGCTCTACCTCCTCTACTTTTCGTCTGACGCTAGTCCTAAAACTATATCGGGGTCCTCGATGGGAATATAGACCAATTATTCAGATTGTTCTTGCATTAATTTTGAAGTTTTGCCCATAAACTCACGCCCCCATCACATTGCAGTAGTCGAGGCCAAGTAAGAGGAATATTTGGATTTTCATAAATTTTCTTAAAGGCTTTAGCAACCTTGTTTCTTTTGCTTGCGTTCTAAGGAAACAAAATCATTAATTTATGGAACAAACACCTGTTTCTATTATCCACACTTCTGAACTATTTTTAGAAGTGAGAGGAATGGCATATTTAAATATACTGGCGATATCTACAATAGTTAGTACCCATTTATATATTTTTCTACCTACTATATCATTGGTAAGACGTAAGAGATCACACTGATGTACAAGTAATTTTACCATAACTAATTCGTGGAATATTTTTTGGTGATGAAGTAAATTTTTGCCATTCATTCTGATTCATAAGCCAAGCACGCACTTTTTTGAATGGAAATCGATATCCTTCATTCTTAAGATCTTTCCATAGTTTTCTAAGTTAGAATGGTAACCAGTGGGATGATAGAATAATAGTTTACAAAGTGGGTCCAATTCTTCATCGGGATTAATTCTGATAATAGGTGAGTCAGAGATGAGCTGGGGGCTCGAGACTTTATCTCTTCGAAGCTTTGCTTCTTCAGTCATTCTCCGATCATAAATATTATGACGGCACTATAATTTACAGTTGTTGAAATATATTATGATGGTACTATAAATTACAGTTGAAATATATTATTATGAATTTTTCTTTCGATCCTGCATATTTACAGATATTAGAAACTAATCGGGAGTTATGAAAAGAACTATCTGAGGAGGTGGGAAATAATAATACGAATGAAAAAAAATCCGGGATCTCATAAAAGAGTTAGAACAATGTAATAGGACCGTTTTTCATCAAGGTTCTACTATTGTATACTATGAATCAGAGATACAGGAACTTAAATCCCGGATTTACAATCTTGAAAAGCGTCTACAGAAGGCATTGTTAGATATAGAGCATAAAGAAGAATCATTGGTTATATTAAATAACAGAATAAATGAGCTTCAGGAAGAATTATATACTCTCAAAAATAGAATTCGAGATTTAACATCTAGAAAATATAAAAAGTTAAACATGGCTCAGACGTCTAATATAAATGAGATTCAGAATCTTACTGAAATAGTTCAAAATGCATTCAATACTATCAATAGTATATTGTGTAGAATACCCGCAATACCACGAAATCATGAGGGTGAGTTTACTGATATTAGAAATGCCGTGGATAGACTTCAACTTATAGCTGATAGGGGAAAAAATCGAGCAGATCAGACTCAAGTCCAAGTGGCTAGACTACAGAGAGAAATTAAAGCATCTGAGGATGAAAATGCATTATCACTTATGGCATACAACAATGAAAGGCAAGCACGACACAATGTGCAATCCTTATACAATAAAAAACATAAGCGAGTTGTTGAGCTATTGTGTGAAAAATTTGCATATAAGTTTTTAATCCGCCAATTTACAAAAAAAGTTAAAGGAGTGCCAAGATCACGGTAAAGCACTCGATTTCAAACTCAGTCCCATAGAAAAGGCAAAAGATAAACAGTTATTGCGAAAACATCTCACCGAATGGGAGTATAAGACACTAGAAGCAAAAGGCTTAACGATTAAAGTTACAATGCCTAATTCACCAGATGTCTCATCATCTTTTTACTCAGATTCTAGTGATACTGGAAGTCTAACAGGGGGTATGCACCAAAAATTTGATACCATCCATAGACATGGTAGAAGAACTAGTGATATTTTGGGCAATAATGAAGAGGAATTACATTCTAGTGACAATGAGGATAGTGAAAATTCATCAAACTCCATAATTATTGAAGGTATGTCTAATACTGATATACCGCCCCTATTTAATGACTCGAATTCTTCTAGTTCAGATGATTCAGATGATTCAGAAATTCGAAGTTTATTTTCTTCAGATAATGATATTCATGCAAGTTGTAGACAAATACACATTCAGAATATTAGATTACAACATAAGGTAGAACAAGAATTGAGAAAATACCACAATGAAAGAGGCTTATTGGAATTTGATCGAGATCATCTTGTAAATGATCTTGAAATAGCTGAGGATGATATCAACAATCAGAACCAAATAATAAATAATTTAAATCAAGAAATTTTACTGCTTCAGAATAATATACATATAAATAACAATCGAACAGGTATGGCAGGGTACCCATTACCAAAATTTAACGGATTACCAGGTGACCTTTGTCGATGGTGCGAATGTGGTAATATTCATCCAAATGGTGGACACAATATACGAATAAGAATTGAAGGGATTATTGAAAATTGTTTTGGAGACGATGCAAAAGATTGGTATGAAAGTAATATCAAAGGTAAAAATTGGGAGTCACAACATATTACAGCAAATATTGGAGTAGCAGATCTCCATGCTATTAATGCATTAACTAACAATGGAATTCGTGCTATTAATGCTAATAGATTTAGAGGTCGATCTTGTACTATCTGAGATACTCCAAATGATGCTAATTTACCTGCAGTACCAGTAGTTCCAGCCCATACTGTGTGGGATGAAGATTGGTTAACATCAGGTGGACGGCCTACAGACTTACCTCCCAACGCACCTAATGCTGGAAATGATGCTAATATTGTAGCTTCAGGTATTCGAATTGGTCAAATGATAGATCGTTTTAAACATGAACATCCCACTATTACTGCAGAAAAGTCGCAAGTAATGTTCCATTCTTTGACCCAAGGTAATGAACCAGTAAATCGTTATTACTCAAAATTAAAAAGATTGATTAAACAAGCATATCCAGCATTGGCAGATGCAAACCAAGATGAACTTCTTAGACAGCAATTATTCAAGGGGATCACAAATGAAAATAAAATAATAATAAAAAAATTAAAAATAATAATAAAAAAAAATAATAAAAAATAAAATATATGTAAAAAAAAAAATAATAATAATAATAAAAAAAAAATAAAATGTAATAAAAATAAAAAAAAAAATATTATCTTTAGTTTTGTTGTACCTAGGGGTATGGGGGGACAACTCAATGTTGCACATATAGATATTTGCCGATCTTCCAATTCCAAAACTGTCACCCCTTCAAAAATTAAAAATGTCATACGTTTCATAGTAAAAAGAGAACTTTACATAGAAAACTTTACACACAAGAGTTTTTGAACAGCCGATGCAAAAAAGTTAAGTTATTATTGTTGAAAGCTTTATACTTCTCAAATTTTCTCTTGATCGGGCTTGAAATGACATTGTTAATTGTTAATTACCAAGAAAACATATATTATATATAAGATTAATGACAATTATACTCATTTTACTTCTGTTTGCAAACAAACTACAGGCGATAACAAAATTAAAACGATTATAATAAGCATAGATATTGTGTGAATGATAAGCAGGTAAAGAAGTAATATATACATATACTGTACATATATAAACAATTATTAAAGTATATATATAATAATAAGAAAAAAAACATTTTTTTTTTATTACTTCAAAGATGACAATGAATCCTTGAAGAAAAACAAACCTAAGTTGAGGCATAGTTACTTGCATCTCGGGATCTATTTCAAGAAGACAATTTAAAGATTCAATGCTCTGTTTAACAGAAAGTTCATAGTTTGCTTCTGCAAATGAGCATGAACCATCTGCCCAATAAAAATGGGCAAGAGCAGGAACAGTTTTATTGTTTGGTTTACGCTGAAGTAATACAACTATTATAATAATAATTGATTGATTGATTAGTCGGGTGTTTTTATCAAAGATAAATAAGAATATTATTAGTGTCAAATCAACATACGAGAAGCAGTTGATGGTTGTAAAGTTGAATTGTCATGATTTTTTTCTTCGAGAGATGACTCATTGATCATTGATGAAATTCCTGAATCGGGATTTTCAAAGTTCAAAAGGATACGTTGACTCCATGCTAATAAGCCAGCAATGCTATCAGGTTCATGTATTTTTTGAAGGCTTTGAACTAAATAAAATATTACATGAAATAATAATATAAAATTATAAATGAAATATGTATAAATTACAATTATTTTATTAGCATAAATAAATTAAAATTTACCAATATTCATAAGTGTTTCTTGAAATTCCATCAGTAACTCCATTCTATTGACAGTCGCTTCGCCTTTTAATATATTGATTTGATTCAAAAGAGACTAATAACAATAATAGCAACAAATTAAATATACAATCAAACAATCAAAAATCTCACTATTCATATACCTGATAGCCATGTTTTAAAGCCATAGCATCATCTCCAACAATTTTAGCCCCTTTTATAATTCCAGTTCTGACACGAGAAAACCATTCATCACAAACTTTACGATTTGTACGAAAAAATATAATACTTGCACGGGGTGCCTGTGGTAATCTTCCCAGTGCTGTTCCAACAGCTGCATTATATATTTGTAATTCTAACCGATCAATCAAATTTAAAAAATCATGTAATTGATAAATTCTACTGAATCTAAAAAAGATTAAGATTTCTTATTAATTAGCAATTTCAAATAATAAATATACGACGAAAAAAATCAACTCACCTATCATGTATATTGGGATCAGTGTTAGAATTATCAAAGATAGAATTAAAATCCTCTTCCAAAAATTCATTTAATTTTTTTTCAATTGCGTCAAATGTCTTTGAAATAAAAATATATATTGAATATATCAATCAAAAAGAAACAAAAGAAACATTCACATATTT